AATTCGAAAATGCAAATTATACCTCATTCGAAAGAGCTCTTCGAGCTGAGTCGAATGACACCAAAATCAGCGAAATCCGACTTGATTGGAGAAAGTTATGATCTTTTATTTTAGCTCCTTACCTATGGCATCTGTGGAGATTTTCGCTGCTACGGAGGCCCCAAATACGTCCAGAGCAAAGGAGATAGGAATAGGTTTATGTTACCAACCCAGACCCATCACCCGTAGACTCCCCGCGAGGCGCGTGCCGCAAAACTCCGCGCGAAGCGCGGAGTTTTGCACAAGCGCCTCGCCGATGCCCCGTAGGTTTATTTTTTTGTGTTATAACTTTGTCTAATCTTGTTCAATCACGGTGATTTTGGTGTCATTCGACTCAGCTCGTCGAGCTCTTTCGAATGAGATATTATTTGTATAAAAAATTTTTTATTCCAAAAATCGCCCCCCAAAAATTTTCAAATTTCGGGTGTCTGTAACTCGGCCATATGATGTCGGATTTCGTTGATTTTGATGTCATTCGACTCAGCTCGAAGAGCTCTTTCGAATGAGGTATAATTTGCATATTCGAATTTTTTACCCCAAAAATCAGCTTGGTCCCCCCTATGGTTTTTCAAATTTCAGGGACCTATATCTCGGTCCAAAAATTTTTCCTCGGGCTAAAACTGGTGGCATTCGACTCAGCTCGACGAGCTCTTTCAATTGGTATAACATTTGTAATTTAAAGCCTGCACCCATATACTAAAGTGACCCCGGCTCTACTTTAAGGATATGCGTCACATAAGTCTTCACTCGATAAGCCTTCCGAATCCATCTATATTCATAGTAACCGAACCCCAGATATTTATAACTTATCCATACAAACCACTTAGTCTACAACCCTGCAAATCCATTCTTAATTATTTCCAAGTGGGACTCAACTTTTTAGCATCGGAGGCGAAATTTTTGAGAATTATGGAAGGCAACGACCCAAATTCCTTCCATTTTCAGTACCGACGGCAATTTGTAGTGATAAATAAACCCACGTGCTTGATCCATGCCATGCAGATGTCTACTGCTTGTTTGTGTTATTTTTGGGAAGCTAATACTCTGATTGTACGGGAAACGTAGCCTAAAGTAGAGCCATAATTATATTCAGAATTAATTAAAACAAAACAGAAATTTATAGAAACATGAAGACGAGCTTTAAACGCTATCTATATATATTTTCGAGTATTTTAATTGTTGATTTGTTTTATAACGTGATTAGTATTTTCTACACCTCGTTTGATGGAGGTGTTAAACAGTTTAATGGATTCAACAGAACGTTACCATTTATTATTATTAAATCAATGGTATAATTTTAAATTATACTTAGTGGATTGGAAGCTCTCTATAGTGCTGAAAAAAACTATAGCCGCACTTTACAAAACTTTATAACTTTAGAAGGAGTTACCCACTAGTTGCCGTATTTCTTCTAAAATAAGGCCCGGGGCTTATTTTAATCGGTCGACCTCTGGAGGGGGCTATTTTAGAGGATGGGGGGTATTTTAGGGGTGGGCCTATTTTAGAGGAATACGGTATTTTTTAAAATAAAGGATTTGACGTCATTAATTATGATTCTACTTACCATACTTCCATTTATTATAATTTTTGTTTGTGGATTTAAAATGGTTTATTATGTTAATTTACATACTGGATATGATCAAAATATGAAGAGATTACTTAAACAATTGACAAAAACTTTGATTATTTTGGTACATAAAATTTACTTGATATTTGTGTAGTTTACGCCCCATAAGCTCCGCCTCTTCTCCCTTTCTTTGTTTTAAGATTTATTTTCTGAAATAAAATGAAAATATTGGCCCAATGGTCACTTTTTACGAACGGGAGAGAGAAGAAAAATGGGCGTGGCTTATGGGGCGTAAACTACACTAGTACATTTTATTTAAATTTAAGGTAATTATTCCATTCATTAATCAATTGTCAACTATATTATGTGCGATCTTTATATTAAATAACAAAACAAACGATTCAGCCAAAGATGATAATATAAATCCGATTTATATATTTCTCGCAATCTTCTCTCATTTTACACCCGTTTTTAACCCAATTGTTTGTATAATAACTAATAAGCCATACAAAGAAGCTGTTTTAAATCGTTTAAGAATACATCCACAATAATTTTTCTATTTTATGTTAAAAAGATTTTGTATTTGGATTGACTGATTTAATAAACACATAATTATTTTTCATTGAACTAATTTTGTTTTTTTTATTTTATAAGGTTTGATACATATTCGATAGATAAATTTGTTAGTTTCGTTTACCAACGATAAATATTAATGCCGTTCTCGCCATAATATATATATGCCGTTATAAATGCCGTTCTCGCCCAACTATTATTTACACAAAATTTTATTGAATTTTATAAAAAAGAATCTGAATTTATAAAAAAAATTCAAATGTTTGAACGTTTTACTTTACTAATAGTGAACCAAATTTTTATTATTTGATAAAAAATTGTCTTGAAATTAAAATAAAAAATAAAATTTAATCAAAAACAGTTTTACATATCAGGGGTGTGCCGAAACGGATTTTAAAACGCGAAAAGCGAAAAGCGAAAGTAAATTTAAAAAAGCAACACGCGAAACGCGAAAATCCGCGAAATGCGAAACGCGAAAAGCGAAACTGGCACACCCCTGTTACATATGCATATAAATATAAAAATTTTAAAATTTATTGTGGAACAATTCTTATACTTTTAAAAACAGCAATTCGATATGGTTTGTTTGTTAATATACAGACAATTGCGTTAAATACAGGTGTAAGATGAAACCAATGGAAACTAAATAGTCGAATAATGTTTGAAGTATTGTTGTTTGTGTGAAAGTATAATATAACCATTAAAACTGTTGCGTGTTTTACAAATGGAACAATAGCCTAAATATTGTTATTAAAACATGTTTTGAAAAATCAGAATTTTATATAGTTTCAAATATACACTCAACAATGTTTTCTTGGTTCCGCAAAACACTGTTGGAAGTTTTTCAGAATTAATTTAAAATCAGAATTAATTAAAGGAAACTATATGGTTTAGCTATGCTTTTTGGGCCTTTTTTATTGTTATACGATATCCATGCCAAAATGTAGAATATCACATCTTGGTTCCAACGAAAATTTTTAGAATTTTGGGAGGTCAATAAACTCGATTTCTTCCCTTAAGCGCCACAAAATCAAATTTTTCTAAAAATTCGAAAATCGAAATTTTTAAACTTCTCTACTATCAATCAATCTATCTAAGGCAATAGCGTTTTTTATTTTATTAAATTTATTCTAGGTATGGAAGATCCCAAAAATTTTAATATTCACGATTTATTTTGCTTAATTTTTAAGTCAGACGTGATTTAAGCATACCAGAAGTATTAATGTTTTTGTTAATTGTTTAAACAATCTTTTCATTTCTTGATCAAATCCAGTATGTTCATTGACGTATTTGACCATTTTTATCCCACAGACAATTATTATAAAATATGGGACAATTTCAATAAAAGCAAGTAGAAGACTTGTCAAAATTCCCAGCTTTTTATAAAAATTATTTTTAAAGAAAATAAAAATTTAAAAATATACATTAACCATTTCTGTTTGAAAAAATGGAAATATTTTATTAATCTCCACAAATTGTTGAACACCTCCGCCAGAATATGGTATAACGAAAAAAATATCAGCCACGCCATAAATTACATTAATTATTAAAACAATCGAAAACATATAAAAATAGCGAATGATACCAATTTTCATGTTTCTGTTAAAATAAATTTTCTTATAAATTAAGCCAAAGATATGTAAGTGAAACATTAGGGATCGGTATTTCAAAAATGCTAACCAGGAAAAATTCTTTATCCATCAAAAATCCAGGGCGATCAAAAAAATGCCTTGAAATCTGGACTCTGGATCCAGGAAAAACCCAGACTGGATCCGGATACAAACCGATCTCTATTAAAAACTAGACTAAACCTTAAACCAAACATATAGGAGTTGAAATCCGCTGATGTGCCTATCTATCAGGGTGGATCGGACACATCAAAATTCGGCAGGCTTACTTCTGACCGTCTCTCTAATTAGGTAGGATTTGGCCTTTTTTGTTCGGATCAAGCTAAGATCAACCTGAACACCGTATAACTAATTACAATGAACAATCAAAAAATCGTGAATTTACTGATTCATATGTTTACCTGTTTAAAATTAAATATCTATATACAAATTGAAGACATAATCCGTTTGTATTTAAATTGTAGATAAATATGTACACAATATAAACATAATAGAACACTAATGGATTAAATATTTCTCTCATAAAATAAATCAAAATCCCGTCAGAAATGATAAAAATTGAATTTCCATTCTTGTCGGTTAAATAAAACTTAAAAATTTCTGTTAGTGGTTGTTTAAATTAAATTTTGGTTTTTACTGGAAAAATTGTCAGGGTCACTTATACAGGGTGACCGTAACTGAACACTTTTAATCATAACTTTTTTCCCTTTAAATTTTTAATATTTTTATACTCATTTTGTAGTCCAAACAATTCTCTTTCATGGCATATATGTAAGCCCGATTCCAATTCAGCCCAACAACCAAAAGATTCAGCGTTTGCTGATTCCGACTCCTCTCAATGTTCACACTTACCTGGTGTTATGTGTCTCAAATATAGCCACAGTACCCACCGTATTTGAATTCGGTGAATTACTCTTATAGGATATTTCAAAGGAGAGGGACTGCGCTAAACCTCACAAAAGTTAGGAGACGCGCCGTCAGTCACTCGTTCGGGAATGGGAGAAAATCTCGCTGGAACCCTGTATCAAAGCAAGTGGTGGGCACTTCTTAGATTCCTGGTTATTTTTGTTCCTTATTTAGTTCTCAATCATTAGACCTTTATTTGATCTCATTATCTTTAATCTGAATAAAGTTGTGCCATAAATAAAGTGTTCTATTTTGGTTTAATTTTCAATAAATAATATTGTTCGAATTTAATTCTGATTTTCTAAAAGTTTTACCATCTGTACAAACATTTGAACAGTCAATATTAAAATATCCAAAACACAATTTTGTATCAGAATTCTGCTGTGTGTTTCCATTTCTTTTGGTGTTTTAAAAATAATTAAACTAATCAGAATAATGTTTAGAGGATAACCAAGTAATAAACTGCCCCAATAATCAAATTTAAATAAAATATCAATTGAATCGGGCATTTTTTTATTTTTTTTAAAATTATGGTAAAATAAAATTAATTAAAAAAATATTTTTTATTAAAATAATCGTAAATATTTACATTAAAATAATTATTTTAAAAATACAAAAAAACATTTCTAAGAAAATTTTTTATTTTAATTAATTTCGTGAGATATATGTATTACATTGACGCCTGACTTGGTGTACTTGAGACAATAAACACCACCGATATTTGAAAATATTTACTTTAATATTTAAATAAAAAAACTTTTTTGAGAAAATTTTTTTTATTTTAATTAAAATCGTGAGATATTTTTGCCTACGTATACTTAAAAATAATAGGTGGAAGTTTATATTTTGATCCCAATTCGTACCATATATACAAGTAGGGTTGGGGTTTTCAAGTCGGGCCAACGTTCGAGTCATTTTTTCGTACCGGCCTGACCGAGTCTTTTCAGGCCAGAATTCAATGCACGACTCCGATCCTTCAGACCGGGTCGGATCGGGCCCCCAACCATATTTACAATGTATTCGAATTTCGTTACTATCTTTCCAGTAAACAAAAACATTGTTCTCCATTATAGAAGCATTGTTCTTCTTTAAAAAAATTCTACTACAAATATATCAACACATCTGCCCTTTAAACAAAATTTTTTTCTATTTATTTTTAATTTTGCGCCAAACCAACGCCTTAGGAAAATAGAAATTTTATTTATTTAAAATGCTCGAGGCGTTTTTCTAAAGCTTTTTGTCAAATTAATTTTTTTATTTAAAAAGCCGACAATAAAAAAACATTAAAAGACCAAAGGATCATTAATTTTAATGGAACTATTTTAATTACATTTCAAGTTTTTTAAGCTTAAAATTGCAAGGAAGCAGCAAAAATGTAAACAGTCAAAGATAAATTTTGTTCTTTTTATAAGAAATAAATCAGAATTAATTTCAAACAAATTCTGGTTTTGATTAAATGTTTCCCAAACATTGTTGACTTTGTTCTAGAATTAATTTAAAATCAGAATTAATTTAAAACATGTTCTAGTTTTAATTAGATGTTTACCAAACATTGTGGTTTCTGTTGAGAATTAATTTATAACATGTTCTGTTTTAATTAGATGTTTCCTAAACATTGTTGGTTTTGTTCAGAATTTATTTAAAATAAATAATGTTTGGGAAACATCTTCTGGTTTTAATTATATGTTTCCCAAACATTGTTGAGTTTGTTCTGAATTAATTTAAAATCAGAATTAATTTAAAACATCTTCTGTTTTACTTAAATGTTCCCAAACATTGTTGAGTTTGTTCTGAATTAATTTAAAATCAGAATTAATTTAAAACATCTTCTGTTTTACTTAAATGTTCCCAAACATTGTTGAGTTTGTTCTGAATTAATTTAAAATCAGAATTAATTTAAAACATCTTCTGTTTTACTTAAATGTTCCCAAACATTGTTGAGTTTGTTCTGAATTAATTTAAAATCAGAATTAATTTAAAACATCTTCTGTTTTACTTAAATGTTCCCAAACATTGTTGAGTTTGTTCTGAATTAATTTAAAATCAGAATTAATTTAAAACATCTTCTGTTTTACTTAAATGTTCCCAAACATTGTTGAGTTTGTTCTGAATTAATTTAAAATCAGAATTAATTTAAAACATCTTCTGTTTTACTTAAATGTTCCCAAACATTGTTGAGTTTGTTCTGAATTAATTTAAAATCAGAATTAATTTAAAACATCTTCTGTTTTACTTAAATGTTCCCAAACATTGTTGAGTTTGTTCTGAATTAATTTAAAATCAGAATTAATTTAAAACATCTTCTGTTTTACTTAAATGTTCCCAAACATTGTTGAGTTTGTTCTGAATTAATTTAAAATCAGAATTAATTTAAAACATCTTCTGTTTTACTTAAATGTTCCCAAACATTGTTGAGTTTGTTCTGAATTAATTTAAAATAAGAATTAATTTAAAACATCTTCTGTTTTACTTAAATGTTCCCAAACATTGTTGAGTTTGTTCTGAATTAATTTAAAATCAGAATTAATTTACAACATGTTCTGATTATAATTAAGTCTTTCCCGAACATTGTTGACTTTGTTCTCTTTCCAAAAACATTGTTTATCAGACACTTGTTTTTCTTGTAAATAAAATCAGAATTAATTCAAAACATTTCAAATCTTGCCTATGTTTCTAAAATATTATTACTTAGAATTATTATTATTTTGCTAAATAAAAAATATTTTCCAAGCATTTATCAATCACTCATCCAAACTTAAAAGGAATGTCTAAAATTATCCCTATTTTTCTCTTCAATACCAAGGCCAAATATTTTTTCTGAGCATTTTTTTCTAAAGCAAATTGCGCAATCATTAAATACCTCCCTTTCTCTCGATCATTTTTTAACATTAAATTAATTCTAGTTAATGTCTTCTTGACTTTTCTTAATTAAAAATAAAAGGAAAAATCAAAAAAAAATATTCGGCACAACAAAAAAATATTTAATTTTTCCCCCAAAAATAAATAATTTTTCCCCTTCCCTCCCCCCCCCTTTTCCCCCTTTTTTTAGTCTTCAAAGCTACCGTTTCCTTATCCCTCTTTTTTAAAATATTTTATCTTTAAAGGTAATCTTCTTTTTTTTAATTAATTTATTTTTTCTCTTTTATTTTCTTGTCGAGAGGAAAAATAATTTTTTTTCGAAAAAAGTCAACTAAAAAGTTTTTTTAATATTTTTCTCATCTTGCCGACATGTTCATCCATTCATTTTTCAATCTTTCCGCCTATGATTTTTCCGCGCGGCTGACCAATTGGATTTTAAAGGAAGGACAGAAAATGTAGTATTTAATAAAATCTTTATTTGTATGCATATGTTGTTTATTTTTTATTTTTGTAAATTAACCAGTCGCCGATTTATCGGCTTGTTTGTCTTTAGAACCGCTTGCTTCCTCGTGTCTATTAAATTAAAATTTAAATTCTGACCAATTTTAAAAATGAGCGAAAAATGGAGGAAAATAAATAAAAAAATTTTTAATGATTTTAAAAACTCAAAAAATTCATCAGAATCTCAATAAAAGATATTTTCTAAATTAGAGTTGTCGGTTTTGCCAGATTCTTCGGTTAACCAAAATCGAACCGACACACCTACTCTCAATTTATGATAACAGTTTTTTAAATGGTTTGGCTACCTTCGGTTGGACTGCTTTTAGACCAGGGTTGGGGGAGCTGTCTATTTTTAAAATTAAAAAATCAAGTCGAATCTCCCTATAAGACCAATTTAAAAATAAAATAAAATGGAGGAAGATAAAGTTCAGATGGTTTGGAGAGCTGATATAAGATACCCTCGAAATTAGGGATGGAGACAAATAAATGGAGGACGAAGCATTTTTTAAGACTTGTAGGACTCATATTTTATTATAAATCCTAATTAACCTCTGGATTGAGGAAGGTACCTAAAAAACACCTCTATTTAATATACACTCCATTATAACAGACTATATTTTCATCCCCAAAACGGGTGTGTCCAATAGTGAGGGTTGGTATTTTTTGGCGTTTCCTCCGCAAGCTGCGAGTTGATTAATTTTTAAATTCAAAAAGAAAGGAAGAGTAAAACCAAAAAAGGACAGTATATAACATGTAATTTAACTAGTAATTTATATTTTTTATATTTTTTTTATTCCCAGCCGATGGATGAACAAAAAAGGAAAAAAAAGATAAATAGCCCTTGTCACATTCTTTTTTTCTTGATTTTTTTTTAAATTTTCGTTGTCAAGGTCATTACTTAAAAAGTAAAGAATGCCTAAAAAAGAAGACGCTGACCTTGACAAACTCTCGTTTTTGAATGTTGGACAAAACAACAAAACAAAAACATGAATAAATGGGAAATTAAAAAATGGGGAAGATTGAAGGGTTGTAAAAAGGTGGCATTTAGCCATAAATGTGCCGTAAATATTTTTAGTGGAAAAAGAAATATTTTTGAATAAAAAATACTATTTTATTACAAAACGGAGAAATATAAGACTCTAATAGTGTCTGAAAATCTTAACTCATGTAGTTTCCGGAAAATTAAATTTAAATAATACAACAAGTTTCCGGAAATGTTTATACTAATTTCTCATATTCTTAATGAACCTACTATATTAAAACTTATTAGAAAATAGAATTCCGGAAAATACTGACTACTTTCCAGTTTTCCGGAAAAAACATTCTACTTTGAAGTAAATAAATTTTCCGGATAAGTTTGTATTGTCTTCTAGAAGAAAAATTAAACTTTCCGGAAAATGTTATATTTATTAGATTTTCCGGAAAAGGTTTATATTTATTAAACTTTCCAGAAAAATTTGTATTTACTATAATTTCCGGAAAATGTTTATATTCCGCCTTCCGGAAAATTTATATTTACTAAACTTTCCGGAAGTTTATTTATTATCTTCCGGAAAACAATATTATATGTGTACACTAGATCTACTCAACACCCAAATAAACAAAAGAAATATATTTAAAAACAATTTACTAAAACTAAAAAAAGAACACAAGTAAAGGAAAATTATAAAAGGAATATTCAGAGTAAAATACTAATAAAAATGTGATAATTTAATTTTATTTAAATTTGCACAGAATGGAAAAAAGGAAGAATAATGGCAACTTTTAGGGTATTTTTAGTAACTAAAAAAGTCAAAAAAAATTTTTTTAATTTCTAAAAGTGCCAAAAAAAAATAATAAATTTAAAACTAGTTTCATTCAATTTATTTAATTTTATTGCTACTTTTCAATTTTTATATTGTAGTATTTTGAGCATATAAGTGTCGAAGTCGCAAGCTTCGACGAGTCGCAATACCCTCATTCAGAGCAATTTTGACAAATTTTTTGCCTTTTTCTGTTTTGGAATTTAAACGTCGTTTTTTGGGAGATTCCAATAATTTCCCATTTTGTTTGTCATTTTCTTCTCCCATTTTTCCAAATTTGAGAGAATCTGGAGGAGAAAAAGATTTTCGAACACTCACAAAATCTGAAAAAAAAATTTTGTTGAATTTTAAAAATTAATTAAAATATTTACCAGTTATTTTTGTTTGTTTTTCACTAGAAGAACAAGAATTGTTGTTATTGGAAATATTAAGAGAAAGTCGGCGTCTAGTAGGTGTTCGGACAGAATTGAGATGAAATGGAGGTTTCCGGAGAGATGAACGAATTGGTGAGGTGGCTATAAAAATATTAAAGTAATAGATAGTTTCCGGAAAAGAAAATATATTTTAAAGTATTTCCGGAAAAGTAGGAGTAATATTATGTAGTATTACAACTTTCCGGAAAAGTATTCTAATTAATATATAAATTCCGGAGAGGTTGTATTAGCCTTCCGGAAATAATAAAATGATTATAAAAAGTAATATATTTTCCGGAAAAGAGAATATATTTTAAAACTTTCCGGAAAGGTTAGAGTAATATCTTGTAGTATTACAACTTTCCGGAAGAGTTTAATCTGATTAATATAATATAAATTCCGGAAAAGTTTATATTAGCCTTCCGGAAAAGAATGAAATGTTTATAAAAAGTAATATAATTTCCGGAAAAGAGAATATATTTTAAAGTTTTCCGGAAAAAGCAGGAGTAATATTATGTAATATTATTAAAACTTTCCGGAAATGTTTATTGCAATTAATATATAAAATTCCGGAAAAGTTTATATTAGCCTTCCGGAAAGAATGAAATATTATAAAAGTTAGACAGTTTCCGGAAAATATAAAACATTTTCAGGAATATTCCGGAAAGATTATAATGAAGATTATATAGAACTTATAAATTCCGGAACAATTTATAGTATTAATTTTCCGGAAAATATAACTATAAATATTTTTCCGGAAAAGTTTATATTTAATTATACACCTATTTTAATAAAACAAATAATAATCAGAATTATTCATTTATTTACCTAAACACGTTGTTAATTCACCAGAATTATTTTCAGAACAACAATTATTATTTAATTCTGCTTTGTTTTTGCTTCTAAAGCATTCTTTCCCCTCGTTATTTTTATATTTAAATGTTTTTGTTGTTCTATAAAATCCGGGTACTTGATCGGCAGGTACCCCTTCAAATTCAAAACGACTTTTTTCCAAAGGTTTACATTCCTCAAAATCAAATCCCCATTTTTGTTTATAATGTTCAGACAATTCATTTAACCAATTTCGGACAAATTGCTGAAAATTTTGAGGGAAATTTTTTTTAATTTTTTAATTAAAATTTAAATTTACTTTATTTATTTCTTTATTTTCTTCCCCTCCCCCTCCTCCTTCTTCAAAAAATAAACGTCTTCTAGCAGTCGAAGAACGTTTATTAATATTAAAATTCTCATTATTTTCTTCCAAATTTTCTTTATTATTTTTGTCTTCATTATTAATATGCCATTGATGCCAAATTGGTCTAGTTGAATTTGGGACTAATTGGTGGTATATAGAAGGGGAAAGGATTTTTAATTGCATTTTAATTGAAGAAGAAAATATTTTTTTTGAAAATATTTTTTTAATTCGTTAACTCGAAAAATATTTAAAAATTAAACTGAAAAATTAAGAAAAATACTAATCAAAATAAAATATTTAATAATTATGGAACAATTATAAAATTAAAAACAAGAACGGTCTTTTTTAATAAATTTCTATAAGAAAATACAAGTAGAGTATTGCATGCGCATAGAACAAGTATATATTTTATTATTATACCTATTTTTCCGGAAAAGAATTTATTAGGTTTCCGGAAGGTAATACATTAGAGAAAAGTAATATAAACCGGAAAGAATATATGTTCCGGAAAGTTTGTATTTATTAGTATTTAATCTCTATATAAAACTTTCCGGAAAATACTAGCTGGAAACTGCTGATATTTTTCGGAGAGATAATATAATAATCTATTCCGGAAAAGAATTTATTATATTATAACCGGAAAAGAATATACATTCCGGAAAGTTTGTATTTATTTCTGATATTCAAGAAGCTTTACCAATATAAAAAATTTCCGGAAAATGATAGTTTCTATTTTCCGGAAAACTCTATTTTAATAAATAAAAGAGTCTCTCTTAAAAATAAAATTATATATATTATGTAAATTAATTTTAAAAATATTCCTTTTAAAGTTTAGCGAAGCGAAAAAAATAAAAATAAAAGGAGGAATTGCGCATCTCTCCCTCTCGTACATAACTAAACGAGAATGAAAAAAGAGAATATTTAAATTGACCACCAAATAAAGGGGGGAGTGGCATTACAAGTCTCCCTAAAAGGTCAAAAAAAATTTAGCTTTGGCGTGCCTATTTTTTGAATGCCAAAAAAAAGTAAAATTACAAGAGCAACGGAAGGAGCGGCACGAATAGTTTTTGAGAGAGGAAGTAAATGAATAAGGGAGAAAGTGGTCGTGTCTTAACAGACGGCAAGCGGTCAGGGGAGGGATATAGGGGGAAGGGATATAACAAAAGGTTGAAAGGAGGGGGAATTTTTTGACCGATCCGACAGGTCAATATGAAAGGGACAAAATGTCTCTCTAAATAATTTATAATGGAGAAGAATGGCAGAAAAATGAAGAAAATAGAACAAAGAAACATTAGAAGAATTGTGCCGAATTTTATTTTTTGATGGAAAGGCGCCGTCCCCCCCCCTTTATTTAAAGAGGACAGAAAAAACAATGGATTAGTATGTGGGTTTTTGTTTATTTTTTTTCTTTTGATGGTTTTCTTTTAATATTTAAACAAGGGTTAAATTAGAGGTTAAAAAATTAAGAAAAGTTAATTCTTGACCTTAAAAATAAAAAAAGGAAAAGGTCGGTATAATTTTTTAGTCGCGGACAGAAAAAATGTCCGCAAAATTTTTGCAGACTGAACCTAAGGATCAAAAATTTTCTTTCATTTCAAGCTGAATTCTGACGAAACTGAATTTTATTTAAAACTTTCCAGAAAGGAAATTATTAAAAGAATAACAGTTTGTTAATAATTAACAATAGTGACGGGATATTTGACATAATGCAGACAATAAATAATGAAGACAAGCAACCTGAATTACCTATGAGTTACTTAAAAGAAAATAAGGTAATGGAGACAAAATGGAGGCAATTAGCCTTAACATAAAATTTAGAAAAGAGCTGAAAAGATACTGAAGAAAAATATTAAGACAATAATTATCTCTCTGAAAAATAAAAAAAATTGCCAGTTTTTTTCATTCACTCCCCCCTCCTTGGCTAATGAAACGAATAACAATTTAACAAAAAAAGGGAAGAAAAGAAGAATGAAAGTGAAGGTGAAAAGGAAAAATAAAAAAGCTAAAAAGTTAATAGGCCATTACAAAATGAAGAAAAATGAAGAAAAGAGACGAAGAAATGACTGGAAGGAGAAGACTAGTTTATCGTTTTTACTTTTTTTTTATAAAAATACAAAAGGCTGGAAGGTATTTTGTAAAAAATAGGGATAAAAAATGGCGGCTGCTAAAAGCTGGAAAAAACAAAAAAAAAAGAAAAATGAATGAAATCTGTAAAAAGGAAAGGGAAATATAAAGGGAGAAAGAATGGGCAGCGGCCGACTGCAAAAAAGGGGCGTGGTTAAAATTGGGAGGGAGGGAGGGAAGCGAGGAAAAGAAAAAAAGAAAGAGAAATAGTGTGGAAAAAAGGTAGTGGACAAAAAAAACAATTTTTTTGTGGCCATTATTTTTTTTGGTGGACAAGGAAGGGTAAAAGTTACTTTATAAGTATCAGACTCTAGTATCCATCAGACTTTTTTGGTTTAAAAATTTTGTAATAAAATTTACTAAAAAATTAAACTAAGCTGATTAGCCCTTCAGGGAGTCACCCTTTTCAAGTGATTATCAAGAATTACAGTAATTTCTCTCTAATAGGAAGGACATTTATTTTTAATTTAACCCTTTGGGTGCCTTAAAGAACCTCCTCAATTCCTTTACTTTTCTAAAATGCTAGAAGCCTTATTAATGGAGAGGGTTGTGAAGAAAGGGAAGGTTAAAGAGAGTAATGTACTCCTCTATTAGGTGTGATAACTGTGAAATTAAAAATTAACAAAAGAAAATTAAATAATAATAGAGAAAAAATGGGAAGATTTCTAGGCTATCACCATAGGTGGGTCGGAATTCCGATTTCCGAATTCCAGCATTTTTTCCTTCCGATTTCCAATTTCCGAAAATAATTTTGATTTCCGATTTCCGATTTCCGACTTTTGAGCAGTCCCGATTTCCGGCTCTTCCTATTTCCGACACCTCTGGCTGTTCCGACCCACCTCTGGCTAACACTGAACATAGATAATCATGGAATTCTCTATAAAAATAATAAAAAGCCAAATTAAAAAATCAACAAAAAATATTTAAATAAAAAAATCATGAAAAATACAGACATAATTTTAATAAATTTTTTACTTTATTTTATTATTTTCCCCTTCTCCAAGCGTCCCCTTTTAAATATTTGTTTGAAGGATTTATTACACATTCAAAAACAAAAATGTGGCCTGTCAAGAATGCAAATTTATTTTTATTTTTGTGTTTGGTTCTCTACTCCCGAGAGTGTTTGGTTCTCTACAATAAATAAAAAAATTTGCATCGGCCAAAATATGAACAAAAAAAAATATTTAAAAAATAAATAATAATGTAACTGTTAATTTATTACTATTTTTTAAAGGTGAAAAGAAAATTTAAAAAATGTATAGTACATAACAAAGCATGGATGGGCCGGATGAGAAATTGTCGGGTCGGGTTTTCAAAATTCTACTTGGATCGGGTTTCGGGTCTGAAAAAGACCGAGTATTGGAAAAAGGCCAACTAGACCTCTGCTACAGGTAAAAAGACCCATACCTGCTAACAGAGGTCTATGTAGCAGCCTTAAAAAATAAAATTCCTGATTTCGAAAATATGGTTTTAGATCCCTGATATATATCGGAGTTCGAACCGAGGTGTCAAATGCCCAACTAAACCTCCAGTCCAACCAACCTCCAGCTCGGCCTCGGCAAATGTCCAGTTGCTGTCACCAGTCCGCAAAGAGACTTGCGGACAGGTAGACACCAACTGGACATTTGCCCTCGGCCTCTAATATATACTTCGAAATTCACACTATAAATTCCATACCATTCCGAGTCTTGGAAAAGATTCGGAATACACTTGGGCCTCATTATATGATACACCTCTATTTAAATACGTTTTTCTTAATTTAGTTGGCCATTGGATGGGGGAGTTGTCTAATTTACCCTACCAATCTAATTATCCTCCTAATATAGGGTAAGATTTTGTAGCTTCAAGCCAGTATATTAAGGTAGGCTCGACTAATAATTTAAAAAAATTTTAGCATAAATTAGAGAGGAATAGAAAATTTTATAGAAAACCCCTTCTATCTTGTCCAACTTTTTAAAACAAAAAGCAAAAAAAAATATTTCCCATTCCCGAAGAATGGTTCCAAATGGCACGGGGCCAAAGCGAAAGCCACAAAATGTGTGTATGTAGTAATAATTATTTGAGTAAAGAGAAGAAGAGAAAAAAGCTCATCGTAAAGTGGAGAGTGCCAAATAATTATATTTTTTCTTCAGTTTAAAAGTGGGGAGGGATGGTTGGGAAACAAAATGACCCGGTCATTGATGCCTTGGATTAACAGCTGACATAAAAAAATGTTCGAGAGGGATTTAAAGAGGGGGGAAGAATAATTTAAAAAAAAGATTTTTTATTATTTTTGGCACCATTTTGTGTCAAAAAATACTTAAAAGTTTTAAATGGCCTTTAAATTAGGGTTTGACCCCGACTCCTGAGGGCACGTTTTTTTGGGTGCGTTGGAGTAGACTGACAATAAATTGTGAGTGTTATTTTGTCAGTCATCCTCCAACGCACCCAGAAAATCATTCCCTCAGGATTCGGGATTAAACCCTCCTTTAAATTAAATAATTAGAAATGAGACTCAAATGGTATGGGAATCAAATATTCAAAAAGTAGTTGACTTTCAAGACTCAAATGTCGTGATTTCCGAGGCTCTAATAGTTAGGGGAAAATAGAGTATGAGATAGAGTCACTAGAAAGACGTGAGACATAAGTGGTACAAGAACGTTATTGATACTCTAGTGGGGTTGTCGGTTCTGGACCGAACTAACCCGAACCGAAGAACCGAGGATTTTTCGATTCGATTTCGGATGTCCGAAATTTTCGGTTCGGTCCTTCGGTTCGATTTTGGATATCCGAAGAATTCAAATTTTTGAATACTTTTTCAGTGTTTTTTTTTCAAAAATATTTCTTTTCATTTTATAGTTGTACATACTATTAGTTAGTTGGCTGTCTGGTTTTTATCTTTTTTTCAAAAAAAAATTTTTTTCAAATTTCTTTTTGTTTTCTCAATAACTCATCTTTTTTTCGCTTTGCCCACACAGTTAAATAATAAATAAAAATATTTTTTTTTTTATTTTTTCCAAAGCGGCAGTCCACCCCTATCTTGACCAATATCTTTCCTTAAATGAGAGGAAAAAATCATAAAAAAAATTTGAGTTTATTTTGGATGTTTTTGGCTTGTTTGTTTAAAAGCTTTTTTAAACATCTGTGGCCATAAACTAAAAGAAAAAAATAAAAAAATATGAGGAGAAAAATAAAAATAAGCATAAAATGGTGATCAGACTAAATAAACATCTGTAGTGACCAATCACCGGGTATTTTTAAAAAAGGGGAAAAATCAGAATAAAAATACAAAAGAAATTAAATTCAGAATTTAAAAAGGCTGGAGAGAAGAAATACAAGAAAATACAAGAAAATACAAGAAAATAAATCAGAATTTAAAAAGGCGGAGAGAAGAAATACAAGAAAATACAAGAAGAAAATACAAAGAAAATACAAGAAAATAGAAGAAATTAAAAATCAGAATTTAAAAAGGCTGGGGAAAAATACAAGAAAATACAAGAAATTAAAAATCAGAATTTAAAAAGGCTGGAGAAAAATACAGGAAAAATACAAAAAGAAAAATACAAAAAGAAATACAAGAAAAATACAAGAAAATACAAGAAATTAAAATCAGAATTTAAAAAGGTTGACCACATGAAAAATACAAGAAGAAATACAAAAAATACAAGAAAAATACAAGAAATTAAAAATCAGAATTTTTAAATAAAAAGAAAACACAAATTCTGATGTGTTTTTATTTAAAAGAAGGTAAAATACAAATCAGAATTTTGTTGGAAAATACAAAATCAGAATTATTTTAAAAAGGAAATTTTGATTAATTTCAAGAGGAAAATATTTCTGAAACACAAAAATCAGAATTATAGAAAATTCTGATTTTAAATAAACTTGTTGTGTAGTTTTGTTGTATTTGTGTTTTCTTGTTTTATTAATTCTGATTATTAATTCTGATTAATAAATGCTTCTTTCTTCATGTATTTCTCAGCTGAATATTTTGATGTTCTGATTTTACTCAAAAATATAAGAAAAACAGAAAAGGAAAGGAACAACAAAAACAAAAATGCCAAAGTTGAGTAATATTAAAAGAGGGGAATTTTCGGGAGTTTTTTCCAAGTGACGAGAATATAGTTAAATGGTAAAAGAAATGATTGAATATACTGATAAGATTTTTAAACCACCAAAAAAATAATAAAAGTAGGACGAGAGAGAGGGAGAGATTTAGTTAAGTAGAGGTTTCAGAAAATA